ATCCTACACTGTATGTGCCTAGGGTCTCACCCTGGTAAATGAGACAGGCCACCCCAACCGACTTGGTGGCACAACAGTGTCAGCCTTATCAGGATAGGTCTCCCCAGACCGATCCACTGGCTGTGAACATTCTAAACTAACACGAGTCTCATTAGGTGTCTAGTTCAAGGGTATATCACAGAAACATACCAAGGGAACGTGAATCAAATATGTACTTCTATTCATTTACAATAAACTCATAAAGTACATCATTCTGATTGAAGCTAAGGGCATACAAAACTGTCCAACAGAAGGATGAGTATATAATGAGAAGGCCCTATCCACTTGTGAAGAGGAAGTGAGTGTTATAGTCTCTCTTTTATGGTATTGTTTCACTAGGGAAATAGGGTAGGATACATATATAGCTATTCGCTTTCATTACATTGTTGTGGATTGCGCTGTCAAGTACAACAGAGCTCCAAATATTTGTAATTTGCAGTCTGAGGCATGGTACTTCCATTTTTCTGTTGACATTACTAAAGTTTGATTTTCATTTTGTGAATGACTCATTAAAATGATATGATGCTTAAAGTGCATCTACACTACCTTTATGGTGATTCATGATTGATATTGGCGGAAAGTCATGCAAATAACCCATTAGCAAATATTTATTGCTCTTTTACTTTAAAAAGGGATTTGATAAAATGAGGATTGGCTGATATGCACCTGACGTCTGAGGTTGCATTGATGCCATTGCTAAGATGATGCTTTTGTTGTGTATATGTGTGGATTAAAACAATTTTCTCTATTGTGTGTGTTCACGTGTGGCCTAGTTTTATTAGTCATTTTAAATGTGTGACTTTTTGCTTATCATCATTAATTTGCATAGATAGGTAATTCTTGGTTCCTGGACCACAGTTGAATGTTACAACAATGTTGGATGCTATGGTATTGGTACACTACGCTACCTAACCTTGGTCGATGAAATATGGTATAAAAAATCATTACCCATTGTTGGTCTCAKCTATCTAGGGTCTTGGTAGGTGTGAACTGGATATGGACCTAAGCTTTATCATTCTTTTGCACAAGTGGCTGCTCTCAGGCTCAAACCCACGTTTTCATGGTTGTCAGTCTGAGATTTGATCATTGCACCATGTGATGGCTCCTAAATATTGTCGTTATATGATTGTTGAAATTTACCCACTCAAATACTGAATTTCTTGTAACTGGTGTGTTCTTTAGTTGGATGAAACTTAAACAATAATATGCTTAACTGTATTGTTTTGTATTTATCTGATGCACCATATTACTACAAATGTAGTTGATGCTACATTTGCCTTTTCTGTTTTGTTTTTTTTTTTTTTTTATGTTATCTTGTTTTATATGGAAGTATGAGGGTTGAATCTATTCATTATTTTCTTCCCAAAGAGTTGCATTGCTTTCATTAACATTATTCTGATAGGGAGATTAGAAGATATGAAACACTTAATTAAGATATAAAATGTTACTTGATAGTCTTCTCTCACTTTCTTATGCAAATGGGAACCTGGCTTTTGCATGCTTTAATGTTGAACTCAAGTTTGAGTTCCTTCCCTGCTTGCCTTAACTAAAATTTCAAGGTTTCTGTCTGAACTAAGCTTATTTTTATTTTATTTTAGGCGTCACCCATTATGATTGGTGGTCGACAAGCTTTTGTTGAGGAAAAACGGGCTTCAAGCTCTCGAGGTAACATATATATATATACATAATTCAACTCCAATTCTCAAGATTCTCAGGCGAAATAAAGTTTGTTTGACCTCTGGAAAGAGCTGCCTTTCATTGTCATTACCTTACGTAGGTCCAGGCCTCGTTCATTTTTCTGGTAAATAGGGCAGTAAGTTGGTCAGGGGAAGTTGACCAACTTACCTGCATTGTCAATTGGTATAGTGGGTCCCACGGTAAAGAAGTATTCCTGGGTGTATCATTTACCTGGGTAAGCATTACCCTTGGCCAACTTAGGTAAGCAACTTACCCGTTGCATTTGTCAATTTGGTAATCTCTCTCCTCTCTCTCCTTACCTGGGTAAATTTTTAGCATAAAAAAAACATGTGAAACATGCTTACTAGGGCAAATTTTACCAGGGTAAGTGCACTTTGACTTTCCCAGGCCAGTAAAATGAATGGGGCTTTAAACTAGAGGATCGGGGGTCAGAGGTTGAGAGCTGTAGTACAGAATGGAAGTTGTGCTCCATTGGAGCAGAAGAGGTGCTCTTTTAAAACGAGTAAAAACCCTCTAGATTAAAGTTCATGGGGAAGCTTAATCAGGATAACATTTCATAATATGCTGGTAAAGGGGTGTTTTTGTATTTATGCCCAACCCGGTGCATTTATGAAATTGCCTGTTGGTTTGTTTCTTGTCCCTGTGATTGGCTGCTATAAGGACTTTTCTTTGCAAAGCATGCCACTAAGGATCTGAATTCATTTAAAGTAATAGTTCTAGCAATCTAGCTATCCTTTAGCCAACCRTACCTTGGATTTTCTTTCTTTGGAGAGGTTTATGGCATTTCCCACTATCTGGGTGCGTTCTGATGGTTCACAGTTCATGCTCATGCCACCACTTTGATGCATTTCCCATTCAAGGGGGAGAGGACGTGCATCTCGTTTTCCAAATGGATATTTGCTGAAGAAAATAAGCTTTTTTGATAGGCCTAATTAATCTTTATCCACTTTGTTTACACGAGAAAATGCTTCTGTTGCTGCAGTAAATAATAATAGGGGTCGATTTCCACCTGGGAGGGGAAATGGATTCAGGAATGATGGAGCTAGAGGACGTGGAAACTATGGCGGTGGTAGGGGTTTTGGCCGGAATGATTTCAACAACAGGAATGAGTTCATCAGGAATGGTGGTGGCAGCAGGGGAGGATCTTCAAGTCGTGGAGCTGATGGTGGATATGGCAGCCGCATGAACCGTGCCGGTGGTTTAGCTGTTAATGGAATGTCCAAGTCTGTGGCTCCAAGGGTGCCTGCTACTGCTTGAGGTACTGGAAGTAAGAAGGTATTTGTTGGGCAGTTAAACATTATTAATGGAGATTGACTTGATATCAAGTACATTTGCAACATTGTTTTCTTCCAGCAGTGGGAGTTAGATGAGGTACTTTTTGTTAGATCTTTCTTATAGGCCTTTCTTTTTGCTTTTCATTTTTTCCTCCCTTTTTATGCCATTTTGGGCATAAGCGGCAGTAGGTAAATGGTACATGACTAGTTGCTAGTGCTTGTGTAGCTATTTTCTGCAATTTTGTAGCTTCTACATTCTTTTTGTGGAAGATTTAAATCTGGTTTAAGGTTCAGGCTTTTCTTCAAGGATTGAACCAGGGGAACCAATGGATAGACTGTATTAATGCTTCTTTCCTCATGTTATCTGAGGGATGAAATGTTGAAATATGGCAAAATATAATGCTTTGTGGGGGCTCCATAACTAGTCGGGCCTCTTGCAATGCACAAACTTTAAGCAAACACAGCCTATGACATTTCCAATTGAGCCAAGTTATGGTTAATTTATAAATCTTGGGTTTTTACAATTATTGGGGCAATTAGGTTACAATTATTGAGGTTAAGTGGTATTAGGTAACAATTTAAATATTATTTTTAAATAAAAATTAAATGGGCTCTAAATTAACAAAAATTAATTAGTTTAATTATGATTTTTAGGTCAGTTAGGTTAATTAGGCTTACTAAGGTTAACTAAATTAATTACAATTTATAATGGTTGTGAACATGGGTGAAGATTAGTAATTTCATTACTCCTTTGTAATTAAATTAAGGCTGTGTTTGGAAATAAATGCAAATATGTAGAGTATAAAACGGTTCATATAAATTGCAAAATTGGGTTAGATTTGCACTGATAAATTTATATTCTTATCAAACAGACATTTAGCTGTAATGAATGCAAATATGAATTCCAATAAAACATATGTTTTTTGGGTAAAATACAAAAATCTCCTGAAATTTTTGACAATCATAAAAACCTCCCCTATAATTTTACTTTAGTAAAAACCTCTTCTCTATTTTTTTTAAAATTCAACAAAAATATCTCCCTTCCATCATTGACCGGAAAACGTTAAATAGATAATTGTTTTTTCAAAATACTTATTTTATCCTTTTTACGAGCACTGTTCATCTTCTTCCTCACGATGCACGTACACCGATCATCGGACTTATGCCAAGTTTGCGGCTGATGTCAATCACCAAGTCAAGTTCTTGCTGGATGACGACAATTGTGTTTAGATGGAGCTTCCTCGCTATCAAAGAAAGCGAGATGTATTCCGCGTCTTTATAACCTTTGCAGACAAGAAAATTTCAGGATTGCCTTTGCACAGACAACTCATCGCAAGGAGCTTGGGTTTCGATCCAGCTTCGAGGCTGAACAGGAAGGGCGATCCAAACTCAACAAACGTGAGCTTTGTGACATAATCCAGCTGCTTTGAGTCCCCTGGAATTGCTTGTACCAATCGGAATTGTCTTGCCCCTGTTTCCTCAAGATGAGAATAATAGAATGACCACAACTGTATGGGATCCTTACAAAGGAAATTCCGCTGAATCCGACGTCCATCTGGAAACTGACCCGGAGCTCCTCCACCTCCCTCCTTCAGAAAATAACATAGGGATCCAGCCCTCTCTCTCTTTCTCTCTCTCTCTCTCTCGGGATTTCTACATACCGGGTTAAGAGTATTATGTTTCTTGAAGGTTTCTTCGAGAAAGGCTGATTGTTCTTTGGAGAGTCTCAGCTTCTTCCGAGTTAGACCGTTCTCCTCGTCATTGGCTCTGGACGCTCTCTCCAGAACAAAAGTGGAGATATCGGTGGATGCTTGGCCGCATTGGGTATTACCATTTTTAGTTGGCCATGGAAAGCATAGCTGCGAAGACGAAGGCGGGTTACGAGGGACGGGACCAAGAGGGAGAAGATCAAGTTGAATAGGCGGATCGGTAGCATCCTTTTTCTCCTCCATTTCATCTGCATCCCTTAAAGCAGAATCCCGTTCATCAGCTTCTAGTTTCTCGTCCTCTCTACTGTTAACAATCCCAAGTCCTAAGCCCATGCAAAACCCCTTTGGCGCTAACCTTATGACTCTTGTCCGCAAAAACGAAGGCGTTGGAGGCGTCTCCCAAGTTCAAACCCAACTCCATCTCTCTCTTGTACAGACCAAGAAGAAACCCTCTGCCACCATTCTTCATCGGTTAGTTATTTCAGTACTCATTTTACARAAGGGTAAAACGGGTATTTGGAAAAAAAATTATGTATAGGTAAATGTTTTCCGTTTGAGTCAGTAACGGAAGGGAGATTTTTGTCAGTTTTTTTTTAAAAGTCTAGGGGAGGTTTTTATGATTGTCAGAAACTTCAAGGGAGGTTTTTATATTTTACCTTTTTTTTTTATCAAAAGCCCACTTGAATGCAAATTTACTTCTTTTTTATTGATGTATTTTTACATTTTATTATCAATGTAAATATGCATTGGTCTGTTATGTCAATGCATAAATGTAATGTTGCCATAGGCAAAGGTGAATCAGAGTGCAAATTTACCTTGAACCGGGATTTACACTCTATTTGCATCATTTCCAAACGCAACCTAAGGGAAAATTTCATATTAGTACCTTGTACTTTAGGGATTGTCTTAGCTTAGTACTTGAGTTTCGAAATGTGCCACTCTAGTACATGAACTCTTAAAAGCTATCAATTTAATCCGTCGTTAACAGACCGTCATTTATCCATATCACATGATGACATGTGTGATTTAAAATTTTTGAAAATGTCAAAACTACTCTCTTAGAAACTGAACCATGAAATAGATTGTTTTCATCCCTCTCACCTTCAAAGATGTTTCAACGGATACCTCGTCGAAGATGCCAGAAAAGGTGAGTGTTTCTCGTTGAAACATGAGCTTGCTTCTTATACCCATGGTTGGAAGATCACCAAGGTTTTCTGAGTTGAAGAACCCAGTTCATTCTTTTGAAGTATTCACAGCAGGATACTGCAAATGGAAGATTGATCTCTTCCCCCCGAGGCAAACCCGTGACTCTATTTCTATATTGACTGAAAAGCTCTATCTGGATAAGATGTATATGGAATACGTCTAAAGGCCAGAGTTGGTTTAGTAACTCATCCCTCCATCACTCTGATGGAAGCAGATGAAACAGCAGAGGAAGCAGAAAGTGAAGCCAGAAGAAATCGAAGACATGTTTATTGGGTTAGGTGGGGAGAAAGATAAATGGATGAATCACTACTCAACCTGACATAGAATCTTATTGGATGGTGAAGGAGACTTTTCCTTTTCTTTTGTTTGGCTAAAGCTTTCGGTTCTGTAACCAACATGGTCGCTACATCTCTAGATAATGAAGATTCGCTGGAGTGTAAATATAGTTATGCCATTGGGAATGTGATAAAGCTAGAAGAGATGGGTTGTGTTGTTGTCCTGTATAGAATTGACGCAACCAAGATGAGCCACCATTTCTTTCTTAAGACTCAGAGATTTGATCGAATCGTCTACAACTTCCCTCACGTGGGGTTTCTCTACCCCAAAGCTAGTTACTGCCAGATAGAATTGAACAAGAAGCTGGTGAAGGGGTTTATGGAAAACGCCATGGTGCTTAAGGGAAAAGGGGGAAATGCATGTGACCCAATAAGACCACAAATCCCTACAAAAATGGGATGTTGTTAAGAAAGCAGAGAAAAGAGGCCTGGTTCTACAAGTTGTATGACCAGCATGGGAGAGGTGATTCCCCTTCAAGTTATGTAGCCGAGACTTGATTTTTTCAATTACCCACTTACCTTCTTTAAGACCACTTGTAGAATTTTGGAGGGAACAACTCAAGTATAGCTATCTTATTGGTCTACATCTGCTTCACCCCCAAGAAATGTAAGATCTTCTCACAGTCTCTCCTTAATGCATTTTCATGAACACACTTTTGTTAAAATTCACTTCCTAACTAGACCATGCACTAAAATTAGTAATAATCTGCTTGAGAGTAGTAACTTCTGATTCATTGCGTTGTCTAAAAAATTAGGACAACATCAGCGAGCATCAAATGGCTTAGTTTAAGCCCACCACTAGCTACCCTGTCTGACACCATACAATGATTGAGAATCAAGTTGTGAAGTTAACATGTGAGATAGACCATTCATGGACAATATGAACAGTTAGGGGATATGGGACATCCTTTTCGGAAACCCCACTGAAGAGAAAAGGGGTAAGGGAGGGGTAGCCATTAACAAAAATTGAGGAGCATGTCGATATACAACATTCAATCAACTTAATATATTTAGAAGGAAACCCATTGTGAACATCCCAGTTGATTTGGGGCTCACTTCATGGCTGAATTTTAATGGAGCCGCCACCAATCTATTGGAAAACATGGGAGTGATGGGCCTCCCAAGAAACAAGGACTCTTGTGCCCAAAAGRCATTTCTAGGGATCCTATGGGAGGGAGAGGGAGGGTATGGGGCACCTTTCTCCCTTGATTCATGTGTGATACCAATGCCCCTTAATTCTTAAAGAAAATCCTTCTATTTGCATCAAAGGACAGCACAAAAATGAATTGCAAAAAATGTAGATTGGTTCCCATGGGTCTTTCGAAATCTCCATTTGAAGCAAAAGTGAGGTAGGGATCTCCCACTCTCTTTTTTATCCAAAGAGATTTTCTACAAGTGACATCACTTTTGGAATCCCTAGAGAGGAGAAAAACAATTGGGAGATCTCCCAATCTTTTTTTGTCCTCTCATAAGCCTCTTACTAGTGCATGTCTCTTGAGAACCAACCTCCAATACTACATTCCATTAGTACAAGAAAGATAAATTTATCCAAAGAAATCAAATAATTCTTGCACAAGGAAAAACAAGAAAAGAAAAAAAAAAGAATATATACATACTACAGAAATGAAGATAATCAAAAACCACCTAGTAGGAAGCAATTTGGAATGGAAAATGCTAAACTATGGCTAAATTCATATGTGAAGACAAGTTAGTCCTACCTTCTCTCCCTATGATTAGAACAAGCTAGAAAAAAAAAAGAGAGATCAATATATCCTATCAAATCCGAAATCATACAAGCTACTTTCATGCATTCCAAAAGAATTATGATAAACACACCAAAATGCAGCCCATATTAGTTAGGCCTTGGCTTTTTGCTATGCAAACATACACAAGAAATAACAAAAAAACGGGGCTGCATTAGAGAGGTTGTAAACACATTCCTCTTGTGGCCTTCTTCCAAGATACTAGGAGCTGTTATGAGATGTTTTTGATGACTGGACAGATTGAGAATAGTGGGGGTGCCTCTCAAAACCTTGATAACAATGGAAACACGAAAAATATGAGGAAGAACCTAAGGGGATGGTGCCATAACTTTGGAACCAAACTTTCTTGGCTACTCTTTCTTCTTCTCCTCTTGACTCTTCTTTCTTTCTGTAGGTATATAGTGTTTGCTTTAACCCTCAGAAAACATCAAACAYTAAATTAACACCATGAGGTTGCATGCGAACAGCCTACAGTCAACTTTTCTATTGCGATGAACCCGCGATGCACCACAAGTCCTGCAATGAATTCACAGTGCGCATCGCAGAAACCACAATAAACCCACAGTCCACCGCACGCTCTCGGCGAGCCCACTTGTAGCCCGAGCCAAAGGAAACCATGGCCAAACCCACGACAGGGCCCCACACCTATTCGAACATGCGATAAACCCATGGCCTATTAAAGAACCACTCTCATATGACACCTACGCGCGTAACTCCAAAGGAACAAACGTGGCATGGCGCCATGTGTGGCTAACAAGATATCACCCGCCAGGCGATGACATCACGAGTACCACATCAATTTAAGTAGGGCGCACAAGAGGCGGTAGCATACGTGAGTAGTGAAGGCTCTTGAGTGAAAGAAAAGCTGATCCTCAAGAAAATTCCCACGAGACACGTGGCAAAGCCCCAGTGGTGCACCCAATGATTGACAGCAAACACAATATTCCCTTTCCTAACAGGAGACGAGCATCTTTATCTCCTACTTTTTAGGATCTCGGGATCTCCCCCATAAATAGAGATCCTCCACGTATTGAAACTTACTCAGCACTCGAGCACCCTTTGCGTTGGACTCTTTACCCTACCTAGCATCCTAGCTCATGAAACCAATCTCCCTACTTCCCGGTCTTTCTCTGTCTTTCAAAGAGACCATTTCCCATCCAAGACTTACCCTACCTACAATAGAATCTTTGGTTCCGTCTTTGATCACAGAGAATGACCTCACGAAGAATCAACCTTACCTCCATCCCTGAAGAGTAGAACAACATCCCGGAGAACACCAACCCGGGGGTGGACGACTAGCTTGAGATGGAAACGCCTATCCAGGCCGACATTAAAATACTTTCGAATAAAGTATACGAGTTCAAGGCGCTCTTTGAAAACAGATTCAGAAATCTCGATCAGAGTTAGAAGGAAACGAGGAGCACCCTCCAGATCCTGCTCAAACGTTCAACCCAAGCTGAACAAACCCCCGCCGCCACTCTTGCCAGTGTCCCCAACCCCAGCCGCCACTCCACCAACCTATCCACCAGTCTCACGCTTTCCTTGCACTGGCCCAATAGAAGAGACCCCCCTCAGTCGAGATGAGCTGAGGGATTACGTTCAAGGACTAGTAGTTGAAAGCTGCAACCGAGCCTAGGATTCGACTGTCCTACAAAAGCCGTATTCTGACCGCATCCTGCACAAGCCCTACCCTGCTGGGTATACTCCTCCTCAACAATGGCCACAGTACGACAAACAAAGGGGTAGCCCACAAGAGCACATCAGCAAGTTCGAAGATACCCTAGGTTCCTTCGCTCTGGACGGGGACCTCAATGTATGTGAGTTTTAAAAGTCTTTGATTGGCCAACGTACACATGGTTCGTAAGTCTTACCCTTGGAAGCATTGATTCATGGAGTGAACTGGCCAAAATGTGTTAGATAGTGTATGCCCTTAGCTCCAATCAGAATGGTGTACAATATGACATTTAATGTAAATGAATAAAGTACAAATTTGATTCATGTTATTATGGTGTGTTTCTGT